AATGTAATTAGTTATTCTATCCAGGTATCCGGACGTCCGCTAGCCTCTTAGTTACAATGGAAAGCAATCATAGAGAACTTCGTTGAATGCGTGCTGGAGCTAATGTAGATTATTTCCACCGGTGTTCAGCCACCTGATGACTCTATACTGCTCTCTCTTGTTACAAAAACCCTAATCATGTAGGATAAAACTATATTAAAGTTATTTTGGTTGATATTTATCAAGCTGCAGGTCTAGAAAAAAGATCACAATGCTTCTAATGAACATTATTTTGATGAATTTTATAAGGAGGCTCGTCAGGCATAGAGCCTAACAATCTTCAAGATTTTGTCTTAGTCCATGGAGAAACGTCTTTATCCATTGAGACCGGGTATGATGTTTGGTTACAGGAAGATTTATTCACATACTTACTGAAATCTACATATGTCCATACAGGCCACATGATGGAGGGATTAAGCACAACATAAAACTGAAACTGACTATTCCACTTGTTGACTTCCACGAACGGAAAATGTAGATGGGATGTAAAACCCTGTGTAGGTTGGCTGATTGTTCATCCACATAAGGCTCATTCAGAGTAACGGAAAGAAGAAACTCATACGTTTCAAATCGAAAGCATTCACCGTCCATATACGAACGCTGAGAGTTGACTAAACAAAATGAGTGAGTTGCATGAACAAAGTACTGTTAATCATACTCATCTGATAGAAATATCTGAAACATGAGCATCTTGAATTACCAACCACGAGCTTGCAACACCCGTCACTGGTAAAATTGGTTGCCATTACACCCATGTCTGATAAAGGATACTAAATCACTCGAACGTGTCCAGCGTGTGAGAACAAAATTAGTGAAGGATCTTTCTAAACTCCCCTACAATGAACGTTTGAGACGTCTAAATCTTTCCCCCTTATTTTATCGTAGGACACGAGGTGACCTCATACTGGCATTTCGTATCATTAATTATGATTTGGGTGTTAATATGTCTTATCTTTTTGCTCCCTCCAGCACTAATAATCTCCGAGGTCATAGCAAGACAGTTCACAATCCGCGACGTAATAAACAAAAGGTGGAGTCCCATTTCTCTCATTCAGTGGTCAATGACTGGAACGCATTACCCGAACAAGTGGTATTGTAGTGTAGTGTTTCGTTAATAGATCGTCTCGATAACCGTTATTATATCAATCTGAACGGTGTGTAGTGACCGGCCAGTCTCGATAAGAACACGATTGGAATAACAGAAACAATTATTATTATTGTAACCAATTGTACCAGAGATTGTTTTACTGTATTTGTTTAACTGTATCAGTTTCACTTCTTGTTTCGCTCTCCGCCTTGTTGAGTTCGAACTTGCTCACGCACTGCCTGTTCGCCTGTACTCTTTGGCACGTCTCGGTATTATTTCGATACCACGAGATCGCCAATAAATACAATTGATCTGGACTAATAAAGCCTTCTGATTTACGAGCTTACAAAGGAACCAAGTCGTTTTTGGGCGCGTAAACGAATTGTAGTGGTGATCACAGTCCGTCTTCGACTCGACATCCACTACAAACTGGTGAGCCGTATTAGGAACACGCACATCTGGCGAACCACAACCAGTAACCCAATTCTTCGAGCACAGTTCAAACTTGGCCAATTCTTCAAACCAGATCAATCCGGTGAGTCTATTTATCTATCCACTTCTGTTGCATATATTCGTATTGATATTTTCAATATATAATATCTTGGCAACTTACCATGGTGGATAACGATAAGAGTGGTATGAATATAATAGACTCCGAGGTACAGGCTATCAATTTTCGACCGGTTCCTTTCATCCCTCATGATCCAGAAGTCTGGTTCGCGTCACTGGAATCTCAATTTGAGATCCGCCGCATAACCAACCAAAGGCAAAAGTACGCCTACGCTTTGGAATCATTACCCTGGGATCACCTAACTGCTGTTCGTGAGGTTGTCCTCAATCCGAACGTTTACGACCGTCTTAAGGATGCCATCCTTCGACATTTCCTCCCATCAAGAGAGGAACGATTGAGGACTCTCTTAGCACGTCACCCTATGGGTGATGCTAAGCCGAGCCACCACCTCACGCGCCTGCAATCCCTTGCAGGAAACTCGACAGCAGACTCCGAAATAGTCAAAGAGTTATGGCTCGAAGCATTACCAGCTAGTATCCAACCAACTCTTACGGCCCTGCTCGAGGACACCCCACTGCACAAGGTGGCCCTCATAGCAGACAAGATTCTAGCACGTGTTAGCGCCAAAGACAACTATATTGTTGCCTCTACTTCTCATTCAAACATGGATTTCGATTTTAGACGACCTTCGGCTCATGGGGATAGGGACAGATGTATCCATACACGTCTCACTTTCCGAGACCGCTCAAATGTGCCAGCCCCCTACGTCCCCCGACCCGGGTCACGATCTCGAAAAGCCGTAACGACTTGCCCCAAGCGGGCATCTTCCAAGCCACGCCAGAAGGCGGCTTCGGAAGCGAGTTCGAGTTAGTGCTGGTTCCACCGTGCCTTCGGGGCCGGTGCCCGTCATTGTCGAGCTCCCTGCTCATACAAGGCGGGTAACTCCCGAGCCGGTGAGTAAATACGGCCGTACTCACCGGCCCTTCACCTCCGTTTGACCGTTTATTTTACGTGCACGATTAACGCACTAACGCTAGGTACCTCGTGGATACGGGTACCCAAGTTTTTGTCGTACCTATCAGTAACAGTAAGTCTCAAGCTACGATGCTTCGACTACGCGCTGCGGATGACTCAGTCATTCCCAACTATGGTACACGACAACTTACGGTCAATCTGAGCAAAGAGCCTTACGAAGGCCCTTTTCACGTGATTTCCCGTCACGAAAAGACCTTCAAGGTTGATCGACATGGCCGTGTCAAAGTAGTCAGCATTGATCGTCTCTTGCCAGCACACGTCGATGACAGTGCCCTACCTGATAAGCCGAGACCCAATGCTAAACCCATCAAAGCTTCTAGCGGGATCTCTACATCTACTTCGGATCCCACGCTAGATGCACCTGAGACCTCATTCTCACGTCTCAGTCAACAGTACTTGTCATCTGCCCCGTCTACGGACGAGACTTCAGTCTCACGTCCAGACCAGCAGACCACACCGCCCTTGACTGTGGATGAGATTGCAGGCTCACGAGGTTCGAACGAGACTACCGTCTCACGTTCCGGTCGCCGAGTACGCTTACCCGTACGCTTTCTCGACTAACCTCATAACCAGCAGCGGATACAGTATAGGACATTAACCCTATACTACACGAATGCTACACTTTTCTCTTTTTCTCTCATTTTTTTTGTTTACTCCGAGCCTACGCCTTCGACCATCGCTGTTCCGGTATCGTCGACTTCAGTAAACTTTGGCGAAAGCTGGCCTGATCACCCACGCTCTAGTCAACGCACTCAGTCGACCTCTCTGGCTCCAAATACGTATGGTATACATTTGGTCCCGAACATGGTTATTCTGGTCGCATCTGGTTCCTTGGTTCAATTTGGTTTCGTCCTACGTCTGCAGCGTTTCTGGTCCGGACCTCTACGAACGCAACCTTCAGATTCTGGATACAAACCACTCTGGTGTAGCATGCTAGTCCAAGCAATCAATACAGTACATTCCTTCTGGTGCCGTTCTACGTCAAAGACTTTTGGTGGCGACTCGAGGATCAACGATCACTTCCTGTTCTGCCAACGCCTTCGTCCTAAAATTGCACGTTTCGCGATCAGTCCCACGAACGAAACCGCTACGTATCGAAAGTGTAAACCCTTTCTAGCGGGGGCTCCTGTAGTGACCGGCCAGTCTCGATAAGAACACGATTGGAATAACGGAAACAATTATTATTATTGTAACCAATTGTACCAGAGATTGTTTTACTGTATTTGTTTAACTGTATCAGTTTCACTTCTTGTTTCGCTCTCCGCCTTGTTGAGTTCGAACTTGCTCACGCACTGCCTGTTCGCCTGTACTCTTTGGCACGTCTCGGTATTATTTCGATACCACGAGATCGCCAATAAATACAATTGATCTGGACTAATAAAGCCTTCTGATTTACGAGCTTACAAAGGAACCAAGTCGTTTTTGGGCGCGTAAACGAATTGTAGTGGTGATCATAGTCCGTCTTCGACTCGACATCCACTACAGGTGTATAATATCAGGAGACAAAGGGAAGTGGCAACTACATTTTTATTGACAAATAACATAGGCTAGAAGGCAGTAAGCACATGAGTAAATGTTAGCGAGCGAAGAAAAAATAACATACATGGGAGATGGCTGGTAAGCCAACTCGTTATAAGCAAGCATTAATCAACATTTATAGTCAGACTAAAATGAATGACAGACATGTGATAGGTAGGATAAGAAGGGTGCATACACATACGCTCATATAATAAATAGTCAAGGTCAATAAGGCAATAATTAACAAGATCAAAATATGACTCATAACGTTATAGGTGAATTGGCTTGTCCAGAAACTAGAATAAGCTATGTAGGTGTAATATAGTACACGACGTTACACTACTCCCCACAGTATCAGCACCATCAGTGAACATTTTCAAGAAAAAGCTGGACCTTCACTGGAATACAATCTGTCACACAGGTTCATCAACCTACCATCCTTATTACTGAAGACTGAAGACCAATCGCGTTCCTGTCATAAAAGTAGGTCACCACAAGCGACTCAAATAACTGAATATGTACTCACTAGAGTATAAGCGTCCTAGAGGTGACCTAATAACATAACAAACTAAGCACTAATTGGAAGCTAATTAAGCTCAGTCCTAGCACAAACCTTAGGGGTGCTATACAGAAATTAGCGACGCAACATAGCAAAATAGACTGTAGACACACCTTTTACTCCCCACATGTTGTCAAATTCTGTGATTTGCAGCCAGCTGAGCTTATTTAAGTGACTTTATAGAATTCTTCTGGGAAGGAACGTGACATATTCTTGTGAACTCAGGATAGTATTTTACCAAAATTTACGAATGTTTCTTATTGGTTTGTTGAATATATTTAGGATCCTACCTGGAGGCATTGGTGATCGATTTTAACTATATGCGTAAACCTATTCGGTGATAGCTTTTTCAATCCTGTCTACAACTATTTAAACCATTTGGGCGTTCACAGATATTTAAAACTATTCGAATCAGTTGTTCTTATATGACGCGGAATAATTAAGTCTGAAGGTCGATTTCTTCATAACCACACGAGTATTCGGTTTCGGTAAACCATTATGGACTTTACATGCGCACCTACAAACGAAGGATACTTGTTAAGTAGCTATCGTCACTTTTTCGAGCTCCTTGTTCTCATCTGTATGTCTATATTTGGTGCAAAGTACGTGTTGAAGCTATTCAAAAAGTATAAAGGAGAGTTTCTTCGTGCTGGGTTCGCTGGTGTCGACATGAATAAACCCTCCAAGCCAACAATGTATGTCGTCTTTCAATTGTTTTCAATTTACTTTAAGACCTGAAGCCCAGGGAGTATTATGTGGTGTTGTTTTTCTTTCCATCATGTTTCTGTTCATTCCTGTTCCGTTCTGGAGATACCTCGTTGGCAAAGCTGATATGCAACCATTAGAGGTAAAACGTTTGTTGACTGACCCTATCTTTGACAGGTGTGCCAGACAAACGGAATCAAGGGAGAACAGGAAATTATATTTAAAAGCCAGGTATGACGAAAATATCATGATTATCCATATTCTCCCATAGTTCATTCAATTTCTTGCTGGTTTGCTGTCCATATGCTGCATGCTTTTCTTGGGTTTCGCCGACGACGCCCTCAACCTACCTTGGAGACATAAAATTGGTTTTCCATTTGTTGCAGGCTTACCTTTACTAATGGTCTATCTAGCCAATGACGGGACCACAAGCATAGCTGTCCCAGTTATTCTGAGAAGTACCTTCGGCACCAGCGTAGATATCGGTACGTTCGGATCTCTTTAGCGTATGAAGTATCAGTTTTTTAAGTACCACATTCCTTTGTTTTACAAATCGTTTTGGCGTAAAACTTTCAGTCTCAGTCTGAGAAGGATAGGAATCTAGGTGGCCTGTGTTAGTCTTGGCAGTGATGATTTCTCGGTTGGTCCAACTTTTTCTTGAAAGAGTTGGCGCATGGAGCCTCAACCACATGCTGAGGTGATGCATTCTACTCGTTGGTGTTTCGATGGTAAAGTAGATATTTATCTGACAAGTAATTTGTTCTGGGCGTGTGGATTTTTTTGAAATGTCTTCGTAAATTCTCTGTTTTGGAAGATAAAAAAGTGAAGGCATATTAGGTGCAAACTTGTCACTAAATGATTTAAAAACTGTAATCAAGTCACCTCTAGTTTTTCGATATGACTATGGAAGCAGGTTTAGTTTAGCCAGTCGAGCATCATACGGGGGCTTCGATAAGCTTAGTTGCTGTTCTCTGAACCCTTTCCAAAGACTCACTGTTTTTTAAGCAGGGGCTAGCCGCTTGTATGCAGTACTCAAGTTTAGGACACACGAATACTGTATACAAAGTCAAAAAAGTTTTAGCGTCGACATGACTAAAGGCCCTACGTATTGACCATAGAGTTCTAAAACATTTGGCAGCTATTACACAGCAGCGTGCAGTAGTTTTTAAGTATTGACTAACGATGCCTCCTAAATCATTGTGTGTCTGGAAAACAGATAGCTCAGTGGTATTCATCATGTACGTATCTGTACCTTGATGACCAATGTGCATCACAATACACTTAGAAGTATTTATCAGCATCTGCCAAGTTTGAGACCGTTCGGATGATTTCTCCAGGTCATTTTGAAGTTCTAAGCTATCACCTTTACTTCTTATCGCCCTCCATATCTTGACGTCGTCAGCATATGGCAAGACCGATGATGACAAGAGACGAGGAAGGTCATTTGCATACAAAAGGAATAACACTGGCTCCATAAAACTTAGATTTAATCCAGTTACTAATTGTTGAACTTAAGAGTCATGTTGTTTTTTAATGTTGTACTTAATCCCTGGAAATTCTAATTTATCAACTGTATACACTACACTTCGAAGACTTTATCCCTAAGATTGTGTTCCGATTTTTGGTTTATAAGTAAATGCATGTGTTCATTCTTTCACGGTAAGCTTGAGGAGACTATAATTTATGGACGGACCAATCATATTTAAGACAGCAGATTTTGGATTTTGACATGAAATTCATTCATTCATTTGGCTTTTGTATCCGTTCTTTTTTCAAATAAGCAAATAAAATTTTCAAGCACTGCAATGGTTAGTTCTATGAATTGGCTACTCAATGAGAAAACCTTTACTTTGGTTGTATGCTTTAGTTGCTGTATCCTCTAGAAAAAAATATCAAGCATAAACTCAATCCTTAGTATACTATTCGGTATGGCTTTTCCGCCTTTTAAACCCATTTCAAAAGTATAAAAAATTGAGTTCCTTATTCTTTTCTCCCATAGTAAACTTAGCATCTTAGTAATCGTAAGTGATTAGTTCCCAGAACTCATCTCAGATATCAGTTGCCCTTCCGATAGGAGCTCACTGCCAACTAGTTGCCACTAGCTGTCATAAAAGTCTTTCATATTGTTTAATAGAATCGAATTTCAATATATCATTGGTTGACATTCTTCCCATCCAGCATCGAATACACTTGAATTTACTGAGACGGGTCTATTTCTGTATAATTAGATTCACATCTAAATAATTTCTTTATAAGGTTGAAACTTATTCCCTCATTCTTCATTTATATAAACTTGTTCAACCATGCGTCAAAGTGTGTATGCCCATCATTTTCACTACTAATCGTCGCTAAATTCTAGTATATTTGAATTATGTTTGATAATTTATTTCAAATTACCTAGGTATTTTGTATTACATATATATGGGTTTGCTGACTGTATTCTGTACTAATTCTATAAACATATATGCCGGAGTAAATGGTCTTGAAGTTGGCCAGGCAATTGTGATTGGTGCTTCTCTAATTTTATTCAATCTGATTGAACTTTCTAGTAAGTTATTAAAAATTTCTTTTTAAGGATTTTATTTATTCTTTGTAGTTTATTTAAGAGATATGTACCTAAGAGTAACAGTTATTTAATATAGTGTAAAGTTTTGAGTACGAAGGTTTGTAGTCTATGGTCTTGGAACTAGACGTTTGCCAGTTATTTGAACCCCAATCTGTTTGCCATGGTCATATATTATCTTTCACTTTAGTCGCCAATCAACCTAACGTGTAAATGTTCACTATATCAGCTACATTATATGTTAATGTATGATGAAGTTGATAGCTAAAGACTATAGTCAGTCAGTCAGCTATAACATAGGACAAGGCACATTTATGCATCGGTCCAAGTTGCCATACCTCGTTAGCACAACAAGACGAACACCAAATTCATAGTAGTTACTTTAGTGATGGTAGTATATGAAAGATAGGTTGTATATAAGGATATTGTATAGGAAGGAAGAAAGTTATGAAGCAATTTTAATCTCAAGGTTCAAAGGAAGATAAAGAGTGTATACACCTACGCCATTGTGATCGATTCTGAGCCATGTCACCTAGTCTCCAACACCATTGTTTACGATAGTCACGCGGACCCCAACCAAGTAGTCTGCATCTGCCAACATGGCTCAGACTATAATACAAATTAGAAGTAATAATTATTGACTCCGTTGATCGTGAGGTTCTATGGCAGTGTTTGTCAGTGAAAGGAGTATCAAAGAAGTACAATAACCTCATAAAGGCTCTCTACTCGAACACAACTGGTCGAGTTAGAGCCTCTCACGAACTGTCATCAGAATTGGTTACCTCAAGTGGTGTTCGTCAGGGCTGTCCACTCTCCCCATTCTTGTTTAACTTTGTCATTGACATGCTTTTAGAGATATCACTTTCATCATCTCAATCTTATGGAGTTGAACTTTTGCCGGAAGATTCACTTGTTGACTTAGAATACGCCGACGATATAGTTTTATTCGGTAAAGACGCTGACAAAATGCAGAGTCTTCTGACCACTATAAGCAACAATGCAGGCATTTTCGGGATGCGATTCTCTCCCTCGAAGTGCAAAATGTTACTTCAGGATTGGGTTGCATCGACACCTGAACTAATGATAGGGAGTGAAGTAGTTGAGCGTGTAGACCACTTCACTTATCTTGGGAGTCTCATCAGCCCTTATGGTCTGGTGTGTAACGAAATCTCAGCACGGATACAGAAGGCTCGTCTAGCTTTCGCCAATTTGCGTCATTTATGGAGTAGGCGAGATATCCGTCTAGCAACCAAAGGACGGGTTTACTGTGCAGCAGTTCGTTCCGTCCTACTTTATGGCAGTGAAGCATGGCCGATAAGAGTAGAGGATATTCGTAGGCTACTAGTATTTGATCACAGGTGTCTTCGAAGCATTGCTCGTATATCCTGGGACCACCGGGTAATTAATGCAGTTGTTAGGAAACGGGTACTAGGTAGGGATGGCAAATCGATTGATGAAGTAGTGAAACTTCATCAGTTGAGATGGCTGGGACATGTGTTACGTATGCCCAACCACCGACTGCCCTGACGTGCAATGCTTTATGATGTAGGAGCAGGTTGGAAGAAAGCTAGGGGCGGTCAGACCAAAACATGGCATAAATCCATAAAGTCGCTGACAAGTGGACTGGGCCGTGTTGGTAGGTGTAGACTACCTGGTTGGGATTCGCGAGATGATAGCAACCGATGGTTAGAGACCTTGAATGACATGGCTCAAAATTGTTTGCAATCGCGGAAGTGCATCTACTCTTTGTGTTCTACCAAATTCTAATCTTCTTAATTATTCATGTCCCTTTCATTTTTCTCTTTCCAAATTTATTTCACCGTATTATACTTCTTCAATAACATCTTCAAACCCTTATCTTTCACATAATACTTATACTCTTACTACTTCTACCACTATGGGATTTGAATCGACAACTTCATTTCTGTGCTAATGTGGTATGGCAACTCGAACTGATGTACGTACGTACGAAGTTCTACGTTGTAACTGACTGACTGACTGAATAATTAGGAGTAAAGTGTCTGAATTGCTATTCATTAAGTAATAATTTTTCGCTGTCAAAAATATATAAGTCAATACAAAAGTTTAAATCAAAGTGCATCTTTTTAATCCCAAGGTCTAGATAAGAGCATAAGTTGTTTTGTCTCTCAACACCTCTGTTCGACTAGTCTTATTGTTTATGATCTACAAATGCTTCTATTGAAAATAGAGGAACTTTTATAAGCGTAAAACGTGAGAATATTTGAACAAATGAATAAAAATACGTCAAGTACATCATTTCTTCGCAGTAAGTGTAAAACGATGCCCAGACCCTCCTACTTTGCTTTTTTTTATTTGTATACTTTGTAATCCGTTCATAAATTCATCCAACATTTCAGGTTATCACTGGCGTGTTCATCTCTTTTCGCTATATTTTTTAATTCCATTTTTGGCTGTGTGTTGGTCTCTATATCGTGTAAACCGGTGAGTTTTATCAGTTTTATTACTGCTTATAAAGCATTATACTGTAACGTGTATTTAGTCCACTTAGTTTCTACTCCTATGAAAGTATGATGGACATCTTTCAGTTCATTCTAAGCAGTTGGTCAACATATAACCTTACATAAAGTGCATCAATACTAGTTGCCATACTTCTTAACAGTATGCAACGGGGAATTGTCAAAACGGAACTGTATCGGAATAAACTATAAAAGATTCGTCGGAAATAGGACATAAATTGTAGATAATAAAATATTCAAGATTTGCAAACATATCTTTGATATAATTCATGTAATCTACGCTTATTTTCTCCCCTTATTTCCCACATTCGATTGTCCAGTGCACCATCCGGTTGTTTGGGTAATTGAGTGAAGGACTCAATATAGTCTAAAGATTAATTCATCTATCTATTTAAAGTTTACCGTGTTTTTTTTTCAACCGAACCGAAACCACTTCTAAACCAATATTGGGCTTAGCGGAAGTTATTTGTTCCCTACATTCCTTCTTATTTTTAACAATGACATTTTAGAAGTGGCTTTGAAAAACGTATGTAGAGACGATATAAATTAGTTACCCAGGAAGAGATTTTTGAATAGTGAGTAGGTGAATAATATCGTGCGTGTGGCTGTAAAATTGCTATATGGATTAACCATTTAGTAACCTACCGTCGTCCACAGTTGTGGTACATAAATCGCACAATCTGTGTGCTAGTTATTTCTGCAAACTGACAGGTATCTGTGCTTACAACTACTGTGTGTCATAAGCCGCTGGAAATAGTGGATGAGTTTGTCTAGGTTGCTATGTAAGTGCTGGAGCTTTGGCAAAAAGAACAGTGCTCGTAGTATGAAAAGCAGACCAACTCATATCGATCTAGACCGTATTACGTGTTTTGGCAATGTTTAACCCGTATATTGCGAATAAATCCCAATCTAACCACTGGATCAAAGTAACTTATCTGCTGCATCTCTGTCACATGTTATTTAAATTTGTCGTACTTCTCATTCTTCAGATAAGTAATTTGCAATAATATATCAATAATAGTCTAATAATATTTCTCAATCTTTTTCAAAAGATATCCGGCCAAGGTTTTCGTGGGTGACACATTCTGTTATTTTGCGGGCATGACTTTCGCTGTAGTCGGTATTTTGGGTCATTTCAGCAAAACATTGTTACTATTCTTTCTACCGCAAATTGTCAACTTTCTGTATAGCACTCCTCAGTTGTTTGGTTTGATTCCCTGCCCACGACATCGATTGCCTCGGTAAGTACAAGCGTTTGCAAAAAAGTATAATTGTTGTCTTACAGTTATTTTAAGTACGTCCTTCTTATTCTATCAACACTAAAATTTCGCATTATCTAGTAAGGCCATTACAACTTCTTTAAAGCTTGTTAGCAGCATCTTGTTTTGGAATCAATTTCATACATTCTTCTTATTTTGACGTCCTATTCTTGTAGCTTCTACAATATCGTTTCAATGTCATTTATTTCACTGTCAGCTTAACAGGATCCTTTCTGTTTGTCTAAATGATTACCTTACTGATTTAGCATTGCAACTTGGACTGTTACAAATTTAGTCCGTATCCTAGGTTTTTAATGACTGACTGACTATAGTAAAATCCCATGGATTATAACTCTGATAGCCGCATAAATTATATCCGTTTCAGCATTTTATCACCTACTAGTAAATGATTGAAAGAAGTCCAAGGTTTATTTCCAATTGATATTGTAACACTTCCCCCAAATGTCCTGTTACGGCCGAGGGTTGTGAGAGTCCGCTCTCCCTCTCGAAATGCTCTCACATGGCCACGCGTATACAGCCACTGCCTTCTCACAGCGGGGTTGTTGTTTACAGAATTGAGAGGACAAAAAGTGAAAGTCCTACTCTTTAACCGGGTTGGTGCATATGGAGGATCCATCTAGAGGAATCGAAAAACCCTGATTCCCAATCAATGGTGCACATGGGCTTCAGGATCATTAGGGAACAAATGGCGTATGGACCTGTTGTTGGTCACCGGTTACCATGGGACTGCATTCCTTAATGTTGCTCACTGCCTTATGAATCAGACCTTTAGGTCAAAGGCTCGGGAAGTGGTTCTCAAAGAAAAACACCTGCTTCAGTTTGAGCACTCACACAAATCGAATGACGAATTGTGGCGCATATATACTTGGTGCGTCTTTGTACCAATGTTTATGTGTTTAAATAAATAGGTAAACAAACTTCCTATGTTGAGACAGAAAATATAAGTTTGGTTGTGGCTTGTTGGTTCAGGCTTATGCTAAGGTTTGAACCCCGCTTCACCCACTTCAGTTTTAGCAACTGCGTATTGTCATTAACCCTCACACGTTGAGTGCGACTCATACCCAAGTTCCTGGTAAGTTTATTTAATTTAATGAAAAGTTCATTTTTGCTGTTTGCATAACAGACTGAACCATTAAGAATCAGGAGTCAAAGAATGGCTATTTCATCACAGTATGGGATTCCTCAAGAGTGTGCATCTGAAAATCGAACCCATGACCTTTGGTCTGGTGCGCAAACACCTAACCTCTTGACCACTGATCCAGCATCCAATAGTGTACGTGTTTAATATCAGTCAACTCACGATATTGCGTAAATATCTTTCAATGAGAAGCCTTGATAAGTGCAGTGAACTACGTTGAGCGGGGGTAGTCACTTACCGATGACATTGAGAGATGATTGCGCAATGTTTTTTGTGATTAAATTCTTCTTGATGTGTGGGCGAGAGTGATAATGATTGGTTGTCTGCTTAGTCAAACACGTTCAATAGTCTGACAGGTGTCAGATGAGTTACGTATTCACATATCCTTATTATTTATTATTATGGATTGTTGTGTCGGTTTTGGTGTAGAAATATCTTTACGTTCTTTTCAGGCTAATCGCATGTTCTTGATCTGAGTTGTTTGAAGTCCTGTAGAGTAGACATTGGAAGGGAATCTAGTGTAGATATTATTCTAAGGTGAATTAACGTCCCATTCGTGCAACAAAAAACGAACCGTTATAACACTTCTGGATTTGTGATAATATTATGTTCTGTTTACATTACTTTACTTACACCTGTCACTCTCAATGAAGCATAGGCCGCCCACCAACATTCTCCAACCCATTCTGTCTTGGGCCTTCTTTTCTACTTCTATCCAGTTGTTGTTCATTCTTCTCATGTCTGTCTCCATTTCTCGGCGTAATGTGTTTTTTGGTCTTCCTCTTCTCCTTAGGCCTTCATGATTTCATGTGAGGGCTTGTCTTGTGACGCAATTGGGTGATTTCCTCAATGTGTGTCTGATCCACTTCCAGCACTTCTTCCTGATTTCTTCCTCCACTGGATGGAATCTAGTTTGTTCTCTCCCACAGTAGGTTGTTGCTGATACTTTCTGGCCAACTGATCCAAAGTATTTTGCGCAGATAACTGTTAATAAATAATTGTATCTTCTGGATGATGGCCTTCGTTGTTTTCCAGGTTTCCACCCCATACAGTAGAACTGTTTTGACATTCGTATTGAAAATTCTGATCTTGGTATTGGTTGACAGTTGTTTTGAGTTTCAGATGTTCTTCAGTTGTAAATATGCTGCTCTTGCTTTGCCGATCCGCACCTTCACATCTGCATCAGATCCACCGTGTTCATCGATGATGCTGCCTAGATATGTAAAGGATCTCACATCCTCCAAAGCTTCTCTGTCAAGTGTGATTCGATTGGTGCATGTTGTGTTGTGTCAGAAAATCTTGTTTTTCCCTTTGTGTATTTTGAGACCTACTGCTACACTGGTCATCTTCTCCTGCATTTGTTGTTGCATGTGTGATAGAATAGCCAGATCATCTGCGAAGTCTCAATCGTCCAGCTGCATCCTACCTGTCCACTGTATCCCGTGCTTCTCTCCAGATGTTGACGTCTTCATGATCCAGTCGATCACCAGGGGAAAGAGAAAAGATGAGAATAAGCAACTTTACCTGACACTGGTCTTTGCTTCGAACGAGTTATCCTCTACACACGATTTTTCAGTTTAATCCATCATAAGAATTCCGTATGATGTTGTCTATCTTCTCAGGCACACCGTAGTATCCAAGAAGCCTCCATAGTGTTGTCCTGTCCATGCTATCAAATGCTTTCTCATAGTCAATGAAGTTGATGTAGAGTGGTGAATTCCATTCAATTGATTGTTCCACAATGATCCGTAGAGTTGCGACTCGGTCTGTACACGATCGATCCTTACGGAATCCAGCCTATCGACCTCGAAGTTGGTCGTCCATGGAACCCTTCACTCTGTTTAACAATACTCTGTTGAAGACTTTTCCTGATATTGAGAGAAGAGTGATGCTTCTGTAGTTATCACATTTGCTGAGATCGCCTTTCTTCGGTATTTTGATTAGAAGTCCTTCTTCCCAGTCTTATGGTACTTGTTCTTCATTCCAAATTTGGCTGAAGAGAATGTTTAGTGTCTTAGCAGTTACTGCTACGTCTCCTTTCAGTGCCTCTGCCGGAATGTTGTCTGGTCCTGCTGCCTTGCCGCTCTTGATTTTTCTGATGGCCATGCTGATCTCTTCAATTGTTGGTGGGCCAACATTGATTGGGAGGCCCGTGGGTGTTGCTTCGATGTTGGGTGGGTTCAATGAAGCTGATCGATTCAAGAGTTTTTTGAAGTGTTCTACCCACCTGTTTCGTTTTTCTTCAATGTTGGTGATTACCTTGCCTTCCTTGCTTCTCACTGGTCGTTCTGGTCTACGGTAATTTCCAGCAAGTTTCTTTGTTGTATCATACGGTTGTCTCATGTTTCCCTCTCTTGCAGCCTTTTCCGTTGTCATTGCTAAATATTCCACATATTTACGTTTCCCGGTTCTGATGCTCCTCTTCACTTGCTTGTTTGCTTCTGTGTATTCGGCTTGTGCCTTGACTTTTTCTGCTCTTGTTCGGCTGATATTGATTACTGCCTTCTTGTTCCTCCTTTCTTCAATCTTCTCCAGTGTACCAACAGTGATCCATTCCTTATGGTGGTGTTTCTTTTGGCCCAGAACTTCCTGATATGTTTAAATGATTGCCTCCTTGATACCTTTCCAGTTGTTCTCCATGGTAGTTCCCTCTCTAGTGAGTAGATCGTGAAAGGCCTGGAACTTGCTGCTAAGGGCTATCTTTGAATTAGTATATATATATATATATATGATTTTTCATTCTTAGTTCAAACTAAAGTATTATCCTCTAAAAAGTATGAACAACCAACTATGAATCGTTCTTATATTCTTGATAATTTCACTTCGTTTGATAACATGAGTTTAAGAACATCCACCCGGTAGCTACAGCTATTGGTGTAAAAGTACACAACAAAGCAACCTACTTTTAGTTACTCTCCTACGTTTTCCAATAATATCAGTCTCATTTGCATAATATTCTATTGATGTGACATCCTGTGTTTTGACGTTTATTTTTTCTAGATACGATCCAACAGACGGTCTATTACACCCCAGTCGTGTTCGTTTTCATCCAAAGTCTTTATCACGTCCTGGTCAGTTTGTTTTGACTGTGTTTTCCTACGTGGGCATTATTGAATGTAAACTTTGCCCGGATTGTATCCCAAATATTCCTACATCACCTAGGACGGAAATGATCGTTTCACAACCATCTGAAAATATGTCTTCTGATGAAGAACAAACATCGGAAAGACAAAGAGCTAGGAGTAGAAGCCCAGTTCAAACCAAATTACCTACTGAAGAAATTGTTGAAGTAGATAACCTTACTGTCATAAATATGATGCTACGTGTTTTAGGACCCAAAAATGAACAACAGACTACCAATACTCTTTTGCTACTCCAAGTAAGTTACCCTTAAGACAGCTAAAACGTTATTTTGCCCCAAACTTCTGAATAACCGATATGTTAGAATTGATGTGTTAGATTGTTCACCTATTAACATCCACATCAAATTTATTCTATACTAGTAGTTCCTTTTTTTCAGTGAGGGCGTTCCTCTGTGGAACTTTAGTGGCAAGGTTTACACTATGACCTAATTTCTAATTATTTAATCATTTGTTGGTAAAACAGGATAGTTTATAACTGTAAATTTAATGTTATTTTTCTAGTCTGACCGTTTAACTTGGTTTACGTGACCCCTTCTGTACGTTTTTAAGCGTAATTAGTCCCAAGAATAATAGCTCCTTAAAATTGATTACTTTTCAAAAGAAACGGGTAGACGTCGGTTTTCTCATAATATTTCATACTAATAGCTTTCCTGTGCAAAACTGTCTACACTAGAATGGATGTGGATAAACCTTCACAAATAGGTTTCTAGTACCGTCAGTTATTCACTAATAGCAGTTAAACATGTAGTTTGACATTAACATTCTTTCTAATGTTTAGGACAAAGAGCTTTCACGTAATTTAGTCGAACTTGGTTATGTAATTCAATATCTTAATACCCAATCGTTATTACTCGTCTTATATATTCCATCTTTCTGATTATTACTTTTAAAACTATTATAATCCCTAAAGAAAGGAGAATAGAGTAGCTTCCGAGTAGTAGTAGTAGTGTTTAGCCTTAAACTAAAAATAATTTATAATTATATTTTCTCTAAAGTTAGAATCAGTTTTACTCACTAGAGACTGTCCGGTTTTATTTTTTCTATATGCTTCACTATATATATATATATATATATATATATATATATATAATTTTCTTTCCCCTCATTGATTTGTACTCCGGACTTACTGCCTGTAGCTGCGTTGAATAAAGTACTATTTAGTGTTAATCTGGTTCTCTATTCCGGAGTATGAATCTTGAATCGTCTAGTCTCGTTATCGTATTAGCGTATTATTGTAGTATACCTGAGAGAGAAAGAAAAGTATTTTAAACCATCTATTATATCAATATATATAAGATGGTGCCTTTTTTATTAAACAGTCCTATTCTGTTTCATAAGATTATGAAACAAAAAATTCTGTTTATCTTTTACTGATAACATACTAATCGAACTTTTGGTTTGATGTACACTTATTGTATGCGAATAAAACTTCCTTCATGACTCAAAATAAAACTAGTTAAATATATATTTAATTAACAAAATTTGTAAGTAGATATCCTTCGATTTCTTATTGTGCTACACACAAATCTATGCAAAATACACATTTGTTGCACTTTGGTTAGAAATGTTTTTTTTATTCGTAATAATTCACCCATGATTCCATAAATTCCCTTATGTTACTATAACAAATATATATGATCTTCATAGTTAAAATTCCAAATTGATCGTACCTAGACCATGAACCGAAACATGGGAGCACTAGACAACCGTTTCATCCTAGTATGGGACTGTTTAACGTTGCATATCCACGATCTCTCATGCCTTGTGTTGGCCAATCATCTATCGCAGGTGATGGATGAGAGTTGTGCAATATCGTAAGCTTATTGATGTTTACCACTGTATGTTGGCTTACTTGTATAAGGATTAAAGGATTTCACGTGAGATCGAGAGTGCTGAGTTCCGCTTGTGTATGCGCGCTTCTAAGAAGTCCCGTGTTAGGACGAGACTGCCGTCCAGAGCTTCCAGGTTTTCGGTAATGGTCTAGTTGAAGTTAGTTCGTAGTTTAAACTTTGGAAATTCTTCAATCACCACATATTTATAATATCCAATTTCGTTCGCAAAAAATTTCTCTTTAACTGAATAAATCATACTTAAGTTTAACTAGCTGATACGTCTTGATGATTGAACGCTATACTCGGATCCTAAGTTAGTCTTGTAACACCAAGCTAGAACTACATAGCGACTTGAACACGAGAGAAAAGGCACAAATTATACCAGAAGCATTTTACTCCAAAGGTTCATTTATGTACAGAAAATATAGGGTTTTTATAGTACTTTAGAAGTCCTTGGGTTTTCCTAAAAATTCTAGAATACTATTAAACATAGTAGCAGTGTAGTAACCAGCCAATCAGAACCTCTACATGTAACTTTTCATTTTCGCTGTATTTCTTGTAAAGCTTCTAATCAAACGCTGATTGGATAAAATACTTTCTAATGTTTCCTGAGCTTGTCATGTCTATTGCGAGAAATTTGCAGGATCATCCCAACACACTAGCATTATTACATAATTGTTTCTGGGGTTTTTTAAATATCAATTATTCAATTTATCTCAGTCCCATCCAAAAATCACTTCAAAGAAAATAATCAATTCATTCCTATTCTTTCTTTCTTTTTTTTCCAGATACTTTGTTCTTGTTTCGCATTTATGATTCGTTATCCTCTTGCATGGCTTTTTTATGATGTACCAGCTAAATAATTACAATGAATATTTTGTTCATAACATTGTATCAATGATTTTGTACAATGTTTTAGTTGTATCTAAACAATATAATAATAACGATTATTATTATTATCATCATCATTAGTAGAATGAAGCTTATATATATATACTACTTATATGTGTTACTTACACAACTGACTACTGTATACCAGTTATTCTGAAATTATATCCTTTCATTTTGTGTACATTTTGATTACTCAAATGTTTATATTATAATTATTTTGAAGATGTATTTCATTATTGAATTCACTTTTTTTTCGTAAAATGGCATTTTAGAGAAAAACAAAAAACTCATTCTATTTATGTGATGTTTACTTTGTTTACATAATCTATTCTATGTATATTTCAATGTATGTTTGAATACAATGAAGTATATTCAGTTCATTTTCTACATGTTTGTTTTTACAAATATACAAATCAGTTAATAACTTATTTTCATCATTATTGTCTATGATGAAGAATGAAAAATAAATCTTTCTTCATTACTTGAATAGTATTGTAGTGTGGTCTACTTATATCCACATCAGTAGTATATGGCGATGGTCAGAAGACCGATTAGGGAAGAACCGAAATGAAGTGCAATTCGTAGGAAAATGCATGAAAACAGTGGAATTAGAGAAGATGAACTGATATTTGAAGAAGGAACAGTGAAAATTGAGACAATTGATTGTTATTTTGCAAATTAACTGTTTGCTGTATGTTTATCAGATCTTAGTAAGATAGTTTGTAATTTGTGCTTAAATACATTCGATTGTCCCCAACCGGTGTTCTGTTCACTACAGCATAATAATACAACGGGTTTTACTCATAATATATATTGTCATTAAAATATAAACTTAATAAACGGTATGCTTGTTTATACCTTTCACTACAAATTTTCGTACTTGATTGTTCAAAAGTCAAGTTTATATGTTTACTTCAATAGATCTTTACTAATGTAACTTGATGAGTTTGTTAGATCGTTTTAAATATCGTAGTACTTTTGGTACGAATATGAACCCGTTTAAGTTGTCACATTAGCGTAGAATTTAGAGATCAATAAAATTTTAAAAAATATGTAAGGGAAAATAAGAATATCAGCTGTACTCAGAAAAGATTAGTGAGATTGAAAGATGAATGTATGGGTATCTTTATGAAAGGGTTCGTTAATCACCTTGTCTACTATGAAAGAAATATTCTGCTGTAAATATAGCAATAATTATTATAACGAACCGTAGTGCGGCGGCTAAGACGTTCATCTTTCAGCCATTAAGTTCCACCTACTTCAGTTTGGGCAACCGGCTATTATCATTAGTCTTCATTTGTTTAAACTGGCTAATGAATTAATTAAAACAACGAACCAATCTTAATCAAAATATTAGGAAGTACCGACGGATCTAGGAAGTTTCTGATAATTAGTAAGTGCTCGAAAAACACTTCCTAAAGAAATCACAACATGTTGATTTGTGGATCGAATTTAAATGTAGACTGACAAAGTAGTCTTTGCATTGAATATAGACATGGGGTGGCTTGTGTGTTATGATTAGCTGCAACAGCTCTGACAACACATCTAACGAGGATACGAAAGCTTCCTTCTCTTAATCTCAACTGCTGCAAAACAGATCTGCAGATGATTTCTTTGGCAAAGATCACAGAAAAATGTCATGGTACATCCCGACTAAATCCAGTGATTATTAGTTGCTGTAATAAATTGACTAGTTACCTGAATACAAAACCCCAGAGAATTAATACAATTGAATATCATACTGAATAAAGTCAAATGAGTAAAGAATCATAATGAATTGATTGATAAAAAATTGGTTTTATAATGAGTGAAATTTACACTGAATTCATTAAAAGTCACATGGATAGAAAATACAATCGGTGTAAACACTAAACAAAAACCATACATAGTATTTCAACTAGTTTCTTCTTCATTGCATTTGAGTATTTAAAATCCCCATCCAAATGAGGGGCAACTAATAGTAACCCTAGACAAAGAATAGATCTTTCTATTCTGAAATTTATTTACAAACGGAAAAATAGGGCCGAAACTAACTTTTTTTCGTAGTATAATGGATTGACAATGATAACTCGAACATCATTCAACAGTATCAATTTATTTCGATTTCCCCGTTTCTATACTTGATTAAATAAAACAAATATTGTGGCAGAATGACGTGAATTTATGATTTCGCCTCTATCATTCAAGTCACTGAATTATCTGATGACAATTCGATGCAGAGGAGTTGAGAGAACAAGGTTTTCCGAACAGTCTTTAACTTTTGCTGTTTCCGTCAATTTGTCAAAACTATCCATCTATGCGAATTGCCTCCACCGACATTTCTTCCAAGTGTAGTCAAATCGAAAACTAGACTTAAAAAAGATCTGGTTTTTAAGCTAAGGACAGATATTTCTTACGAGGAACTAAGTATTATATGTATGCTAAAGCTAATCATTTTCCTGCAAGAAGTTCAGAAAAGTGTATATAAAAACTTTGAGAAGAGACTATCGAAAACCCTTGTTAAATAACAATTTTAGAAGGTATTCCGGATGATCCTGTAAAATTTATTTGCAACTTGTAAAGTATTAACTTGAGTCAAATTGAGACTGAAGCACTTTCACTCGGATTTAAATCTCATATTCCCATAAAATACACTGACAACGGATACAGAAACCCAGCTTGAAAACTTTTATCAACAGTTGTCAGAACTGAAAATACCTGAAGAAAAACAAGACTGGCTTGAAACTTGATTCGTTATTACTGCCAATCAACAAATGACTTGTCAAATCTCAAAACTTAATACATAATGAAGATATCGTTATTCTCAAACATGATAAGAGCTCCAGTGTAGTTCTAATAGATGAAGAAAACTATATTAACGAAGTTAAGACGATTCTATATAATTCTGTTAGGATCTTAATTGATTGATCGAAAAAGTATATGACTGAAGCAACAGAAGGGTGTGTCACGAAGAAGTCTAGAGATCTTTGATGAGGAATTTAATTAATAATCAAACATATGATGAATTGAAACCTCAGGGATCCAGATTACCTTATTGGTAGGGACAACCAAAAATACACAAGCCTAATATTTCCGTTAGATCTGTCATATTGGTGATCAATTTTCTATCTCACAAACTCGCAAAGTGGTTAGAGAATCTATTAGAACCAATTCGCTCGAATTTAACTGTCCATAGTTCAAAAGACACGTTTCCATTTACTCAGATGCTAGAACATTTTAAAATCCTTGATAAATTCGTGGTTTCATTTGATATATCATCACTATTTACCTCAAGAATCCATACAAATTTTATGGTAACACGCTAAACTAATTTTCTTACTGAAAAAGGAATTCCAGCAACTATTGCTGATGTGTACTAAAATGTTCAATTTTAGTTCAACTATATCCTGGACTACCAAGTTGACAGATTGGCCACGGGAATTTCGCTGGTTCAATCACGGTAGATATCCCTCCGTCGAACCCAGAACAAGTAGTTATGAAATCGACAATCAATGACACACCGTTGTATGTCAGGTATGTGGATGACAAAGTTGTTGCATGTGATTATTCTCATCATGCTTCTAGTATACTGGAACTTTTCAACAGAGCATTTCTGAAGATTATATTTACAACGGAATGTGAACATGACGTCATGTTTCATTTTTTTAGATCTTGGTACTATTATAGCAACCATCCTACAATCAATTTCGATTATAGCCAATTTTGGTTAAGCCCTTTTTATAACTTACTTAACAGACATTGTCATTGGGATAGTAACAATTTGCATATTCTTTGCACTGCAATAACACTAGAGCACATGACACTCTAGCCGAAATGTTGACTGCTTAAATACCATTCGATGACTCATACTCCTACCCATATATGTACGCACGCAAATATTATTATCAGCCTTTGTTTTGCTTTGCTGTGCCCTTATTAAATTTGACTATAAATTGCCTATGTAATTGCTTGCTACTCTCTCGCTCGCTCGCTTGCTCCTCGTTCGTTCCCTTCGCTTGTTTGCCTGTTCACTCGCTCGTTCATATTCGCTCAGGTGTTGTTAGCTTTCGAACCTGAGTCATTCGACAATAAACTGTAGTTGCTGCTATCCTTTGTCTTCTGATTTTACGCACCGTTAAGTTTAGAATTATAACGGTTATCGAAGTAAACGGTTAACGAATTGCGGCACTACAGAATTGGAGGCCTCGCCGAACAAGCACGACGCAATAGAATTGGATATCTCGCCGAACAAGCACGACGCAATAGAATTGGATATCTCGCCGAACGAGCACGACGCAATATATTTGGTTACCTCTCCGTGCGAACACGACACTACGGAATTGGATGCCTCGACGAGCGAACACAAAACAATTTTCGACGAGATAATTTCATTTCGAAAATTCAACGTACTCTGTTTCTATTCGAATTATTATCTGGATTATAATCATAATTGTGGATTTATTATATCACAATTTTAATCGCACGTACATTATCCCATAAACATTATTGAACTTAACGATAATATTCATAATAAATAACGATTATTCACGAACAATTGATATATTGGTGCAATTTAGTAAGTCTGTTCCATTTTATATATTGTACCTTTTGTTATTATCATTTTTTTCATCGATTCATTTCTCTCAGTGACAATTACGTTATATTCGCATACTATTTAATTTATTATTATTATTATTATTATTATTATTAGTAGTAGTAGTAGTAATGTCTTTAAATAACGAAACAATCGATCTTTCACAGTCACCATCCGTGGGAGTTATTAATGTTACTATTCCCTCTTTTAATGTTACTGATCCTCAACTCTGGTTTATTAGACTTGAAAATTACTTCGTAGCCAATCGTATTCTTTTACAGCGACATAAGTTCGGCTACGCAAGCTCACTACTTCCAGATGAAGTAGCAGACAAGGTACGAGAGGTCCTAACTAAGCCGGATGCGGTAAATCCGTACGATGTATTGAAACAGGCAGTAATAAAAGCTCTCTCGTTAAACGACCGGCAAGCTGTCGAGCAGTTGCTCAGTGAAGTTCAAATCGGTGATAGAACGCCTTCGCAGTTAAAAACGTATATGAGCAACGTAATTGGAGACAGAAATGTGGATAAAAATATATTTTACCACTTATGGTTGCGACGACTCCCACCGAACGTACAGCAGATCCTCGCTGTTGGAGATAGCGATGTAGACATAGACAATATCGCTAAAATAGCCGATAAGATTTACGATAGAATGAGAAATGCGACTTCACAAACACTCAACTTCACAGTTGACGAAAGAATCGAGGCCTTGCAAAAGGAAATTAATGCGCTATGCCATAAACTAACGAGTCTAAATCACAACGACAGGAAAAGAAGTTGGTCGCGCAGCAGATCAAGAGATAGAAACCGATCATTTTCTAAGGGACTACCAGATCCTGCTATATGCTGGTACCATCAAACATTTGGGTACAGAGCTCGAAAATGCAGGTCTCCATGCAAATTTAAACGATCCCAACGATTCTCAGTAACGACTACGAAAATCAACGCAGCTCCCACGAGCAATCGTTTATTCTATGTTCAGGACAGAGTAACGGGCGCGCAGTTTTTAGTAGACACGGGAGCAGAGATAAGCGTCGTCCCTCCATTGAGCAACGAAAAACAAAATATCGATACTGCGCTAACTCTTAAAGCAGCGAATAGATCCGATATAAAGACATATGGCAAGCGAAAACTAACCTTGAATTTCGGCCGTAATATTTCACTTCGCTGGGAATTTGTAA